AATAATCTCATAGATTTGTTATTTGTATGCATAGTATGAAGACATCATTCCTCCCATGCTTCGAACAAGCTCGTTCAGCTCTTTAGAGTATCTGAAATTGGATGGCTTAAATTTGAAGGAAAGAGGACAACTTTTGCATATTGTTAGTATACTCAAAAGTGCTCCTAAGTTGATTGAACTTGATATGGAGGTGAACATGAAAACCTATGCTTCTTAGCTTGTTTCTTATTATTGTATTTTGACTCTTTAATTTTTATACTTCAGATTTACGATGATGTTAACACCACACAAATGACAGACCATTTAAAGGAGTTAGAATGTTGTAGTTTTTGCCCTAAACTTCAGACAGTGAAAATCAATGGAGGTAGCTCGCAGCATGCGATGAGTTTGATAAAGTTCATACTTGCAAATTCTCCTTCTTTAAAGTCTCTTACTTTTAGTTGTATTTTTATTAATTTAGATGCACCTATGTTGTTAAAAATTTCACAAGACTTGTTACTGATGGAACGAGCATCACCAAGAGCACGTGTTAGTTTCCGTTATTGATATGTTGTGTGTATAGACAAACACAAGTTATGATAAGGGAATAGAGTATTTGGGGATGTGGTGACATTAAATGTATTGTTTGTTTTAATGAACTTGTACTGATGTAGTCAAATGGTACTACTTGTGTGGTGAATAGTCTTGTTGCACTATGGACTTTTGTTTGTTTTAAAATCATTTTTCAGTCAATTTGGTATTATGTGGCCATTGTTTGGAATGATTTTTGAATCAGGAGACCTGTTAACTTTCTATTTTGGTTTGTTGTTGGCTGATATTACAATTTTGGAGGATGAATTCATGATTATTTAAATGACTGTTTTCATGTTTTTTAATTACTAGTTTAGTTTACTTTTCTTGAATGGTGTTTTATTTTCATTTTCATTTTTCAGGTGAAAAAAATTAAATAGTATTTTCAATCCCATAACTCTAAATGGCACACTATTTAGGTCGAGTTAATGGAGAGGCAAACTAGTCCATTTTGTCAAATGCTAGCAGTGATAACACTGAGTGGGATGTAACAAAACAATGGTTCAATGTAGGGGTGTTTGTGGGTACTGGTTGCAAAATGGGTTGGATCCGTCGGGTCAGTCCGTTTGATCTGTTATTTTTGGCGGGTTGTCTTGAGGTTTTTGGTTCGGTATTTTAAGTTGGTCAGTTCCGCGTAATCCGCTTGAAAAAGCAGGGTGGGGCGTGTTTGTCTATAGATTTTTTGTTAAAATTTTTTTATTTTTTTACTTAGAATTATAACAATTTTAACTATAGAAACAACATTTTTCTCGTAAGTTTATGTTAATTGAATTGTAGTATAAATTATTATACAAACGAATTATAATTGTAACGTTCTTTCTATAACTTTTTAATACATGTGTTGATTGGAAAAACTTCAAATAAAAGAACAATTGTATGGCATGTTGAATTATTAAGTTGTCAAACATTAATTAACATATTTTCTTTAAAAATAAATGTTAATTTTAAGAAAATGAAGGATTTGATTAGTGTATATGTGTGACAAATTTAAGATTTAACTATTAAGGAATCAGTCAATATCATAGTCTTGTCTTTTGTAACTTATTAATTAGGTTTTTTTAATAGTTAACTTTTAAATAGGATTAGGATGATATGTATTGTTTATATTTATTTTAATACTTTTTTTTATTGTATTTGAGTTTATTTAGTTTTTTTTTGTTGTAATTGGTCTTTATTTATTTTATTTTTTGAACTCTTTGAACTTAAGATACGTTCAAAGTTCTATTATGCGTTCTTAAAAAAATTTTTTGTCGGCCTCTTTGGTAATAAATAAGTTGTTTTTTATAAATTATGTAGTAAATCAAATTGTAAAATAAAAAAATTAGCGGAACACCTCGGCAACCCGCCAACTCGTTAGTAAACGGGGCGGACTTGGCTTTTGAGCTCGAACGCCTAAAATGGCCCGCCTCGCTCCGCTTTTGGACGAGTTTAAACGGGGCGAGCCTAAACGGATTGGACTGCCCATTTTGAAAAATTTTACCCCATACCCCTACAAGTATTCTCATACCCCTACACACACAAAATTTGGACCAAAATACCCTAATATAAATAGATATATATTTCAGAACCATTTCACTTTTCATTTATGCTGTCAAAAGACTTCCAGAATACGTAAAAAATACTCTCCAAACCGGAACATTTCATCAAAGACATTTGATTCACATTTTGGCCTTCGAAACAGTTAAAATAAGTGTTCCGGATTGAAATATTTTAATTTGTGGACGAAAACTCATTTTAAGAGGCTTCCGATTTGTTAAAGTGTTTACTGGAAGACTTCTCAAACGTGTCCCGGTTCAGTTATGCTTGCATTCCTAAAGACTCATGAAATGTATTTTCAAGGTGTCAGACATTATCAGTCCAAATACAAACTATCTTCTCCTTCACCTGATCAAGAATGGTTCTTTCAACGTATTTCAATAGAGCATGATACTTTTCACACACTTTCCAGAATTGAATGGCAGAATCGACATATAATTATTTTGTGGAAGAATTTAGTATACGATTTCATGCGTCCATTATTTTTTCAACAATCACATCGGCCTTCACCAATTTTTCACCTTTGGACTCTACTTATTTCTCCCCTACCGTGGGTTTAACCCTACTTCTCACATTCTTTGTTATGTGATATCGACAATGTAATGCATTAGAAGAAGGAAATGCCTTTGTAACCGCATTCATCAACGTGGTATCACGGTCGATAACAATCGCTTTAGGAATCTCAACTTGGTCCTTCAAAAGTGATCAACACACCTCTAATGCCCGTGTAAAATTGTCCTCTTTTTCACACTCCAGAAAAGCAAAACCAACGACATATGTCTTCTTGGTAGACGTAACATCAACCATCTCAAATAAAGGAAGTCTATACTTGTTAGTCTTGTAGGTAGAATCAAGAATGAACACTGTCGAGAATATGTTAAACAACTTTATCGAATTCGGATGAGTCTAAAAAATATCTCAGACTAGAACTCCATCGTCGCAATTTCTGTACCGGGACACGTAACTGTTATCATCCAATAATTTCAACAGCTGTTGCATCTCACTTCTATCTCCCCTAATCGCCTTGTTGGTGCAGTACCGAATGTTATACACTTGCCTTATATTTGATATTTTGTCGGGTTCCTTCCATTTCAATGTGTCAAGTATATTTTTCGGTTGGACAAGATTCAAGGTCATGCCACTAATACATGTCTTCTCTTCCGGCTTGAGCCGACATACACTAGGATGAACTTGTAACTTTAAGCACAATTTATGGTTATGCAAATAAAAAATAACACTAAATTTTCACTTTTTGGTACTCAATATGTAACCACGAATCTTAAAAGAACATTCACATTTTCTACTACTGGTGTGTCTCTTTTAAACTTCTGTAAAGGAGTCTGATATTTCCCGCTTCTTTCGCACAACAAAGTTACAAAGGCGTTTCTTCTTTCCGAATCATTATCTGATCTTCCTATAACTACTCCAAAACAAAGTCTAGTTGCAGTCCTACAAATCCATGTGAGCATGCTATCACGATCATCAAACTCTTGCTTGTTATTAAAGTCAACGCCAACATCTACCGACTTTACGACAGCTCCTTAAACAATCAGAGATACATCGTTTGTGGAAACTAATTCTTTTGAGATATTATCGGGGTGCACCATATCTATTTGTAAACAATAAGAAAAATAAACAAAAATTACAAATCTGCTGTAAAAAAATAGAACAGACACGTTTCGGAGATGTACATCCGGAAGTGTTCATCTTCAACATGTTCCGGAGGTACAACTCCAGAAGCAACGTTACTTTTTTTTCTTCCAAAAGTTTGATGATTAATGTGATCAATGTAGTTGGTAAAGTGCAATCTTTACCTGAAACTCGATCTTCTCTTACTCCCTTTGATTTGTTGCACGAAAAAGTTGAAGTTTTGGAGTGAAAATGATATTGATAATGTAGAGTTTTTTAGGTTGGTTAATGTGAGTGTGGAAGAAGAAAACACAATAATGGGGAAGTGATCATGCAAGTTTTAAATATAGCAGAAACTTCCGAAGTTATATTTACAGAAAAATCTGACGCTTAGACATTCCGGATGTGCATCTACGAAAATTTCTCTAAACTGAATTATTTTAAAAAAAATTTGAGCGTTTAGCAATTTAAAAAAATTATATAAATGTAATTATAAAAAAACTAAATTTTTATTAAAAAAAATGTCCGTTTGAATATATGTCTTCAAAAGTAGTCATCATTAAAGGAAACTCATCTAAGAGTAACAAATGACAGGTTAAAATTTTTTTTCTTCTTTCTCCAACTCTAAAAAATCGAAGCTCGCCAAAACCGGCGCGTTTTAGATCGGTAACCCATTTTAATATGTATATCCAATGATGTAGTGGGCACTATCTTGAGGAATGGCTCCACTCACTCTCTCACTGTAAGCGAGCTTTGTGTGAGCATTTCGGCGACTCCCACAAGCCACCACCGTCGTCTCACTCTCAACTGTAAGAATTCTTCAAAATCTCTATACTCTTTCGTTTACTTATTATCATCATCATTCTTTAGGTTTTCATCGTATTATTAAACATATTCATAACTATGATTGTTTATTAGGGCACTTCACTATTCACGCTTAGATTACATGCTTTCAGATTTCAACCTTTTCAACATTTGAAAGTTACTCACATCTCTCTGTAGTATCATATGATTTCAAGTGTATTTTCAAATCAGATGCGATTTTGGAATCTGGATAGTCATCACCTGCAATTGGTTTACAACTCTAAGCAAAAAAATATGAAGAAAATTGTAATTTGAAAACGTAGCTTCTGAATTGGAAAACCATATAGGGAGGATCCCATTCCATTCCATTGTTGAATATGGATGCATCATATGCTTTACTTTCTCTTATTATTTTATTCATACTTATTTTTTACACTTCTTCAATTTGTTGTAGTTCTGTCATGATTTTTTTAAAAAAGAAGGCCAATCAAAATGATCGAATCAGTGACTTACCAAGTAATGTCATTGATGCCATCCTGGGAAACTTGAGAATCCGAGACCAAGTTAGGACTAGTATTTTGTCAAAAAAGTGGAGGTATAAGTGGATTTCAGTCCCTCAAATTTATTTTGAGGAAGACTTTTTTGAAAGTTTTATACATCTTGATGACCCTGTAATTTCTCAAATCATCGCGGAAGTTGTTATGATCCGCAATGGGCCAATACACAAGTTTTCTGTTTGCGTGTCTGGAGACTGCGAATTCAATATCTCAAAGGAAAAACTCAATATGTGGATTCCCTTTATGTCAACGGACCTTACACATCTCAAGCTTTTGACCTACTGTACTCCTCCAGACGAGCATCAAATGCCTGAAATTCTCTTCTCTTGTAAGGAATTGACTTACTTCAAATTTAGCTCATTTAACTTGTCAATTCCACCTAATTTCTGCGGCTTTAAAAAATTGCTTGAACTTCACTTAGTTTGTGTTGAGTTCGAGACCAGCGCACTTGAGAGTCTTATATTGGGTTGTCCGTTTCTTGGAAAGCTCAGCATTGAACAATGTACTGGTTGTGATTATCTTGTTATATCTTCTCCTTCTCTCAAAGTCTTAGTGCTGACATTGATCTATACAAAGTCAATTTGTCTCGAGAAAGCAAATAATCTGATTGATTTTTCACTCACCACGTATGAGGGCAGATGTTTTATCAAAAGCTTGCCAAAAATTAAGAGGTTTTCTCTGACCATTTGGGAAAAGGTTAGAACACTTCACTAGTTATAGTATTTTCATTACTGCTCAGCTGGGCCTCACAGTATGATATTTTAAAGACTATCTGACTCTTTTATGGTATATATTTATAAGAGAAGTGATGTTGAATTTTGATTGATAGTCTAATCCAATATTTATATTGAAAGTTATGTTATTGCTACTTCTAAGCGTGTACAGATAATCTCATAGATTTGTTATTTGTATGCATAGTATGAAGACATCATTCCTCCCATGTTTCGAACAAGCTCATTCAGCTCTTTAGAGTATCTAAAATTGGATGGCTTAAATTTTAAGGAAAGTGGACAACTTTTGCATATTGTTAGTATACTCAAAAGTGCTCCTAAGTTGATTGAACTTGACATAGAGGAGGTGAACACGAAAACCTATGCTTCTTAGCTTGTTTCTTATTATTGTATTTTGACTCTTTAATTTTTATACTTCAGATTTTCGATGATGTTAACACCACACAAATGACAGACTATTCAAAGGAGGAGTTAGAATGTTGTAGTTCTTGCCCTAAACTTCAGACAGTGAAAATCAATGGAGGTAGCTCGCAGCATGCGATGAGTTTGATAAAGTTCATACTTGCAAATTCTCCTTCTTTAAAGTCTCTTACTTTTAGTTGTATTTTTATTAATTTAGATGCACCTATGTTGTTAAAAATTTCACAAGACTTGTTACTGATGGAACGAGCATCACCAAGAGCACGTGTTAGTTTCCGTTATTGATATGTTGTGTGTATAGACAAACACAAGTTATGATAAGGGAATAGAGTATTTGGGGATGTGGTGACATTGAATGTATTGTTTGATTTAATGAACTTGTACTGATGTAGTCAAATGGTACTACTTGTGTGGTGAATAGTCTTGTTGCACTATGGACTTTTGTTTTTTTAAAAATCATTTTTCAGTCAATTTGGTATTATGTGGCCATTGTTTGGAATAATTTTTGAAAATCTATGGAGGTAGCTCATTGCAGTATACGATGAGTTTGATAAAGTTCATACTTGCAAATTCTCCTTCTTTAAAGACTCTTACTTTTGATTGCATTTTGATTAAATTAAATGCTCCTATGTTGTTAAAATTTTCACAGACTTGTTACGGATGGAACGAGCATCACCAAGAGCACATGTTAGTTTCCGTCATTGATAAAAACTCTTATGTGGCGATTAGTTGTGCTTGTAGAAACACAGGTTATGATAAGGGAATGAGAGTATTTGGGGATGTGGTGACGGTGGATGTATTGTTTGATTTAAGGAACTTGTACTGATGTAGTCAAATGGTACTACTTATGTGGTGAACAGTCTGGTTGCACTATGGACCATTGTTTTTATTTTTTAAATCATTTTTCAGTCCATTTGGTATTATGTGGCCATTGTTTGTAATACTTTGTGAATCAGGAGACTTGTTAACTTCTATTTTGGTTGGTTGTTGGCTGATATCACAACTTTGGATGATGAATTCATAATTGTTTAAAGGACTGTTTTCATGTTTTTTAATTATTAGTTTAGTTAACTGATCGTACTTGATTAGAGAGATTGTTGATTGACCACGCGTCGTCGACTGAAAGCTGCTCACCAAAGGTGGAGAGAAGGAGGGGGTGTACTTGCAAGACACTCCGATACTTAAGTGAGTAAAGGACCAAAGCGGAAGCAAATACAGAAAATAGGTGTGGAGAATGAATACCCGACCCTCTAGTGAAAGAGGGTATTTATAGTCAGACCCCAGTGTAGGGCCAACGGTCACTTGTGTTGGGCTGTATTGTCAGGCTCAACCCAAGTGACTGCTAGGGCTTATGTGGCGTAGTGAAGATTTGCACGTGGTCTTCACCCTAGTTCAACCGTCCCGTGATCTCTGGAAGGTGGGCTGACCAGTTCTTTCGGAGGTGGGTAGTTACCTGATGACATGTCCCCGCAGAGGGAGCACGTGGAGAATGTGTGAAAGACATGTTGTTCTGCCCAACGGAAAAAACGTTTGCCCGACGTATCTAGATCTGTGCCCGACATTGGGGAATTTTGGTCTTGCTGGGCCTTCCCCGCACAACGTTGGGCTGAGCCTGCCCGACGGATGAGCATATATGGGCCCATTCCAGAATAGGAGCTCCCCAAGTCGTAGCTCTGATGCGAAGGAGCTATGACTTGATGGTAACCGTGTTGAGGACGAAGAAGGACGAGGATGAAGCTCTCTGGACTGCCATGTCGAGGACACTAGGAGGCGAGGATCTTGAGTTTGTCGGGCTATCAGGTCGAGGAGGTGGAAGATTGTCGGGCGCCCGCTTGCCCGTGCTCGAATGGGGGAGCGAAGGAACGTGACTGTTCGCGGTGGCCACGTGTCTGACACCCATTGTTCCACTTAGGGCGGCTACCCTAGGGCACTCGAGTGCCTAAGGGCGCTTCGAGTCCCGTGTTGTGTATATAAATAGGTAGGTGCCTACTCTTTTACTATTTTTCGCTCTCACACACTATCGTACGTGATATTTGGATCTCTTGTACACGCACTGTTGCGCAATACCGCCACCATATCGTCCGTCGCACATTTCGCCATCTCTACTATATCTAGTAAGTTTTTTACTTATTCTCTTCTGTTTTTCTTAGTTTCGGCGTCCTCTGTTATGGACATGATGAATGTCCCAAGGAGAGTGTGGGTTCTCCGACGAATACGGCAGGACCCCCTTGACCTGGGATGAAGGCCCCGAGGTCACTTGAGGCATTAGGATGAATGTCCCGGGGACAGACGACAGGGTACACATGAACTCCCCGGGGACGTAGTATAGGGTTAAATGAACATCCTGGAGACGTAGGATAAGGTTAGATGAACGTCCCAGGGAGGAACGCTAGGTAGAGATGGACGTCGCAGGGACGTGAGCTGTCACCAGATGAATACTTTGGGGACGTTTGCCGTTGGCGCGTGCCCGTGTTGCCGTCGAGGAGAAGTCTGAGTCGTAGTCGTCGTCCTCATCGGCATTTCACTTGATTTGTGGTGGAAAGGTGAATTTGATCTTGAAACGTCAAATTCACCATTTCTTTCTGCTTATCAGGTGAACATGGTCGTGTGGGCAACAGGAACCATGGAAGTTGACGTGGAGCCAGAGTCCCCGGGGGCCCCGCCTGTCGAGGGGCAGGCCCGAACTGTCGATGACTGGATCGGGGAGGAACCTTTAAACACGCCATCTTGTTTCGTCGAGGACGACATCGATGCCTTTGCGACTATCGATGACCGCTGCGAGGGCTCTTCTGTGAGCTAGAAAGCGTACCAGCCACGGGACCATCACCGTGAGGCGGGTTTTGGGCTGTCCTTCACTGATTTCCAATTGGGTGTTTTCGACTGGTTGAAGCTGACACCTTTTCAGCTGCACCCCAACGCTATAGCCTTCATTCGGGCATATGAGCTCGTCTGTCGGTATTTGAAGATCGGGGCCACCCTTACCGTGTTCTTTCGACTTTTCCACCTGCAGAGGCATACGGTAGATGGCCGACAAGGATGGGTTTCGTTGAAGTAGTCGAGGAGGCTTTTTCGGGCGTACATGGACTCTGTTCGGGATTTTAAAGAACGATCTTTTATGGTTCGACCTATTTCTCTCGAGGCGTGCGCCTCGTTGTACCGACGTGAAGCTCGGGTGGTGAACGGGCAGAAGGAGGAAGTCATGGTGCCGAAGGTGCCCCTGGATTGGTCGGAGGAACACTTCAGGAGGGGCACATATCAATATATCGTGCGGGGAGGGACTTTGGACGAGGAGGACCAACTGGGTTATCAGAGGCTGGTGTCCTTCGTGGCCAGTTTTACCCCGACCAAGCTCGTGACGCCCGATGGGAACTTTATCCTCGACGGCCGAAGAAATGTCCTCCAGCAGGCGAGGCTCATAAATACGAAGGCTTTGCTCGAGTGTTCGTCTGACAAGGAAGCTCTGCGTTTTCTAGGTAGCAGGCGGTGTTCTGCCCGTCTCTTTTGTCCTTGGTTATCCTCGTGTTTGCTAACTCTTTCTTTTGTTTTGCAGGAAGCATGTCAACTATGCAAGAGCGCGTGAAGAAACTGGCGGCCTCCAGGGGCGCGACCAAGAGCGGGAAAGGAAGGGTCTCCCAGGTGATGCAACAACCTCCTGTCGACCAGGGTGGAAAAGGCTCCTCGTCTTCGTCCCAGGGGAGTCATTCCCCTATGTCCTAAGGGACCCCGAAGAGGGTGAGTGTAACGCCCATTTTAATTATTTAAGTTTTCCAGTGTTATTTTATTTTCGGCGTGCTTGTGTGGGAATTGTTGGAGAAACTATGGTCCATAATATTAAAATAATATAATTGATAATAAAAATAATATGATAATTAGTAGTGTTGTTATTATTATTATTATTATTATTTGTTATTATTATTATATTTAATAATATTATCGGAAATATTAATTTTTGGAATTATTTGGAATTAAAGGAGAATTTGGGGTATTAGGGACATAAGTGACATTTGGGAAAAGAGAGAAGAGAAGAACACGGTAGAAGCACGATCAAGAGGAGTAAGAGTGAAGGAAGCAAGCTTGAGGAGGAAGAAGATCAAGTTGTTGAAATTTGCGGATTATCATCGATCAGGCTGCTTATTGAGGTAAGGGGGAAGGAAATGGATGGGAAATTGGTAATGCATGAATAAGGGTAGTTGGGGAGTCCTTAACCCCATAGGTTTTGATAATGATGAATTGCATGATGATGATTGCATGTGGCTGATTAAGTTTCTGATTTTTGTTGTTCATGGTGGAATCATTGCATGTAATGTTTGATGATTGTTTGGGTGAATTGGATATTTCGGAATAGATTAAGGTTTTAAGCTGGAAGCGGATTAATCGACAGAAGTTGATGTTTTATCGGATGATTTTAGAATTAGTTGGGTAGAATTTACGTAGAATGCTAAGTTGAGATTGTTGGTACTGATCTAGAGAGAATTTGTTGAGTTTTGAGCTGCTATTGAGATTCTGCACAGTGAGATTTTTCTGAAATTGCAAACACTCGCTAGCTCATCGCTAGGCGAGTGAGTAGCGAGAATTCGCTAGGTGCTCGCTAGGCGAGCTAGGTCGCGAGCCATTCCAGTGGCCATTTTTCTGTACTCGCTAGCAGGTTCGCTAGGCAAGTGGTGTAGCGAAGGATTCGCGAGGCAAAGTTCCAACGAGGTGGTAGCGAACACTTCCAGTAGCTCAGAAGTGTGATTTGCGAGCAGGTTCGCTAGGCCAACGTGTAGCGAGCGTTCGCTAGGAGCTCGCGTAGCGAGCAAGGTAGCGAACGTAGCAGGATTTTGTTTTATTTGAGCTGTGTTCATCTGATGTTGATGATTATGGTCTGTTTGATGTACATAGATAGTGCAAGGATGCTGGGTGTATGTTGAGTGTTATAGGGTTGTTTTGCCGATGTCTAATGTGATTAATTCAATCGACTGATTGTGTGATATATATATATATATATATATATATATATATATATATATATATATATATATATATATATATATATATATATATATATATATATATATATATATATATATATATATATATATATATATATATATATATATATATATATATATATATATATATATATATATATATATATATATATATATATATATATATATATATATATATATATATATATATATATATATATATATATATATATGCGATGTATGATGATGGATCTCAGTAGGATCGTGTGCACCTTGTTTGCTTGATGGTTGTGTGTTGTATGATGATGGATCAGT